TTCAATATTTACATGTTTTCGTCGTTACTTGTAAAATTTTTACATGTTACAGTCTGTCCTTTAATATTTTTACATGCAGTTGTCACTTGTAATATTTTCTTTTACAGTCGTCACTTGTAAATTATACATGTTACAGTCTGCACTTGCAATATTTTTAAAAGGTTACAGTCTTCACTTTTAATATTTTACATGTTACGTTGTTTACTTAAAATTATACATGTTACAGTCGTCACTTGTAATTTATACATTTACGTCTGTCATTGTAATATTTTAAAATTTACGTCTGTCACTTGTAATATTAGCATGTTACAGTCTTCACTTGTAAATTTATACATGCTACATCTGCCACTTGTAATATTATACTGTTCAGTCTGTCCCCTTGTAATATTATACACGTTACAACTGTCACTTGTAATATTATACTGTTACAGTCTGTCACTTGTAATATTATACTGTTACAGTCTCCACTTGTAAAATTATAAAGTTTCGCTGCATTTAATATTATCTGTTACAGCGTACTTTAAAAATTTTTGATGTTTAAGTCTGTTACTTGTAATATTTACATGTTACCTCTGTCACTTTAATATTAACATGTTACAGTCGTCACTTGTAATATTTACATGTTACAGTCTTAACTTGCGAAATTTTTTAATGTTACAGTCTGTCACTTGTATATTTTTAAATTTTCGTCTGCACTTGAAATTTTTTTATGTTACAGTCTGTCATTGTAAATTATACATGTTACGTCTGTCATTTGTAAATTAACTGTTACAGTCTGTCCTTGTAAAATTTTTTTAGTTTCAGTCTGCACTTGTAATTTAAACATGTTACTCGTCCCCTTTTAATATTTTTCAGTTACGTCGGGCACTTTTTAAAATTTTTACATGTTACAGTCTGTACTTTTAATATTTTACTGTTACGTCTTACTTGAAATTAACATGTTACAGTCTGTCCTGTAAAATTATACATGTTACACTGTCCCTTTTAATATTTTTCATGTTTCATCTGTCACTTGTAATATTATACATGTTACAGTCTGTCACTTGAATAATACATGTTACGTCTGTCACTTGTAATATTTTTCTGTTAAGTCTTCATTGTAAATTTTACATTTAAGTCGTCACTTGCAATATTAACATGTTACAGTCTGTCACTTGTAATATTAACTTTTACATCGTACTTGAAAAATTTTACATTTAAAGTCTGTACTTGTAAATTATACATGTTACGTTGTCACTTTTAATATTATCTGTTACAGTCGTCACTTGAATATTAACATGTTACAGTCTTCACTTGTAATATTAACTGTTTCAGCTGTCACTTGTAATTAACATGTTTCGTCTGTCACTTTTAAAATTATACATGTTACATCTGTCACTTGTAATTTTTTCATGTTCAGTCGTCACTTGTAAAAATTATAAGTTACGTCTGTCCTTTTTAATATTATAAAGTTAAGTCTGTCACTTTTTAATTTATACAGTTTCGTCGTCATTGTAATATTTTTAAAAAATTTACAGTCTGTCACTTTTAATTTATCATTTACAGTCTGTCACTTGTAATTTAACAGTTACAGTCGTCATTGAAAATATACAGTTACAGTTTTCATTGAAAATTTTTTATGTTCGTCTGTCCTTGTAAAATTATACATTTAATCTGTCACTTGCAATATTATACATGTTAAGTCTGTCACTTGTAATATTTTCTGTTTCGTCTGCACTTGTAATATTTTACATTTTACAGTTGCATTGCAATATTTTACATGTTTCAGTCTGTCACTTGTAATATTATACAGTTCAGTTGTCACTTTCGATATTATACAGTTACATCTGTCACTTGTAATATTTTTACATGTTACATCTGTCACTTTAATATTTTTAGTACAGTCTGTCACTTGTAATATTATACATGTTAAGTCTGTCACTTGGGAATATTAACATGTTACATCTGTCACTTGTAATATTATACATTTTTCAGTCTGTCACTTGAAAAATTTTTCATGTTACGTCTGTCATTTTAAAATTATACAGTTACAGTCTGTCATTGTAATATTTGCATTTCAGTCTTTACTTTTAAAAATTTTTACATGTTCAGTCTGTCACTTGTAAATTATCATGTTACAGTCTGCACTTGAAAATTTTAAAATGTAAGTCTGTCACTTGTAATATTATACATGCTACAGCTGCCACTTGTAATATTTACATGTTACAGTCTGTCACTTTAATATTATACAGTTCAGTCTGTCACTGTAATTTAACATTTACAGTCTGTCACTTGTAAAATACATGTTCAGTCTGTCACTTGTAATATTATAAAAGTTACAGTCTTCACTTGTATTTATAATGTTACTCTGCCATTTATTTATACATGTTACGTCTTCATTTTAATTTATACTGTTACAGTCTGTCACTTTTTAATATTATACTGTACAGTCTTTTACTTGCGATATTATACTTTCAGTCTGTCATTGTAATATTTTTTCATGTTTTTTCAGTCTGTACTTGAATATTATACTGTTACAGTCGTCATTTGTAATATTATACATGTTACAGTCGTCCTTGAATATTTTTCATGTTACGTCGTCCTTGTAATATTATAATGTTACAGTCTGTCACTTTTAATTTTTTCTGTTACAGTCGTCACTTTTAAATTTTAATGTTACAGTCTGTCACTTGTAATATTTACATGTTACAGTCTGTCACTTGTATATTATACAAGTTACAGTCTTCACTTGTAATATTAAAACGTTACAGTCCCGTCACTTGTAATATTATACATGTTTAAACTGTCACTTGTAATATTATACATGTTACAGTCTGTCACTTGAATATTATACATGTTCAGTCTTCCTTGTAATATTTTCATGTTCTTTTTTCATTTTTAATATTATACATGTTACAGTCTGTCACTTTCAAAAAATAAACTTTACAGTTGCACTTGTATATTATACATGTTACAGTCGTCACGTAATATAAACATGTTCAGTCTTCACTTGTAAATTATACATGTTACAGTCCCGTCACTTGAATATTAACATGTTACAGTCGTCACTTGTAAATTAACATGTTACATCTGTCAAATTGTAATATTTTTCATGTTACAGTCTGTCACTTGAATATTTTTAAAATGTTACAGTCTGTCACTTGTAATATTATACATGTTACAGTCGTCATTGTATATTATAATTTTACGTCTTCACTTGAATATATACATGTTACATCTGTACTTTTAATATTTTACATGCTACAGCTGTCATTGTAATATTATACAGCTCAGTCTGCCACTTTTAAATTATAATGTTACAGTCGTCACTTGTAATATTATACAGCTAAAACTCCACTTGTAATATTTTAAAATGTTTCGTCTGCCACTTTTAATATTATACAGTTACAGTCTGCCCCTTGTAATATTTTAAAAATTTACAGTCTGCCCTTGTAATATTATACATGTTACAGCTGTCCCCTTATAATATTAGATGTAAGTCTGTCACTTTTAATATTACATGTTTTCAGTCGTCACTTGTAAAATTATCATGTTACAGTCTGTTTCTTTAAAATTTTTACTTTACAGTCTGTTACTTTTAATATTATACATGTTCAGTCTGTCACTTGTAATATTTACTGCACAGTCTTTTTTTGAATATTTAAAAATTTACAGTTGTTCTTGTAATATTTTAAAAGCTACATCTCCCCTTGTAATATTAAAATGCTACAGTCTGCCCTTGTAATATTTACATCTACTTCCATTGTAATTTATAAAATGTTACAGTCTGTCATTGTAATATTATACATGTACAGTCGCCATTGTAATATTTTACAGTTTTCAGTCTGTACTTGTAATATTAACATGTTCAAGTCTGTCACTTGTAATATTTACATGTTTCATCTGTTTACTTTAATATTATACAGTTACAGTCGTACTTTTAAATTATAATTTACAGTCTGCCTTGTAATATTAACATGCAAAAGTCTGTCCTTTTAATTTATACTTTACAGTCTGTCATTGTAAATTTACATGCTACATTGTTACTTTAATATTATACATTTAAGTCTGTCACTTTTAATATTTACATGTTACAGTCTTCACTTGTAAATTTACATGTTACAGTCTGTCCTTGTAAATTTACAGCTAAGTCTGTCACTTGAATATTATACATGTTACATTGTCACTTGTAAATTAAACATTTACGTCTTCATTTGTAAACACACATATTTAAATTTGTCTTTTTTTACCAGGTTTCCCGGGTCTTTAGGGCTACGTCAGCATAAAAAAATCTGAGAAACACAGCGACTATCAGCAACACTGTCAAAAACACATCTGAGAAGCAACACAGCATTATCGCGCAAATCTGGGAAGCAACAGCACACTGCAGCCAAATTGAGAACAACGCACACTGTCAGCAAAAATATCGAGAAGCAACAGCAGCCTGTCAGAAACCAATATCTGAAAGAACCAGCACTTCACAGCAATATCGAGAAGCAACACACATTCAGAAACAATACTAGGAAGCAACAGCAGCACGTCAGCAACAATTTGAAAACAACAGCAACACTTTCGCAACAATTTTGAGAAGAAACAGCAGCATTGTCAGCAACAATATTAGATGCAACAGCAGCACGTCACAACAATATCGGGGGAAGCAACAGCACACTGCAACAAAATATCTGAGACGGAACGTAATACTGTTAGCAAAAATATCTGAGATGAAAAGCAATACTGTCCCCAAATTAAATTAGAAGCAACAGAAACACTGTCAGCCCAGTACTTGCAAAAGTAACAGCAACCCCATCATAAATTTTTAAACATCATTTTGCCTGGCTGTAATAACTAAAGAGGAAAATAATGGCTTCAGAATCTGAAAGTGGAGTGATGTGGCAGACTGTGTTGCATCACACATTCTGCGGGAACACCAGATAAACCTCTACTACAAACTTGTCTTACTTAAATACCTAAAACAAACATCATCTGCCCAATACTTACAAAATCAGTAGAAAGATCGAAAGTTTAACAAAACACAAAAGAAACTGTAAAAAGAAGGGGAAATGGAAGAGATTTTGTTTTTCCACTACTGTGTAGGAGCATCAAACTTGCCTGTGAGAATGTAGCTCCTCTCAGTGATCCAATATGGATCACTGCCAGTACAAAAATGGAGTACTACATCACTGCCATAAACAACATGAGGAACGATGCTGCTCATGGTCCATTTTCTGTTACTGATGAAGATTATTATGAAAATATGAGAAAGCTTCGTGAGTTGTTAACTGGTTGTCTTAAGACATCTGGAAAAAGGTATGGGAGAGACCAGGATGAAGTGACCAATGAGACCCAGCAGATGAATGATGAACTGGACCACATCATGAATGAGATTCTCGGAGAGGAAGATATAATCAAATATTGTAGTGATGATATAAAACAGATTATCATTAAAGATAGTTACAATAAACTGAAGGAGATATTACAACAAATAACTTATATTAACCCAGTATATTTTATCACCAACAACTTTCAACTTGAAGTAGATCAAATTTTTGTTGATATTGAAGTTAAAAAAGGTAGATGTAGAGGTAATAATCAACATATAGATTATGTAGACCTTCTCTCACTTGTCCAGACAACATGTGTGGCATCATGTGTGAGCTCTGGCACACAACAACAAGGTTCCTCTGGACGACCACAAATACTGCTGCTTGAAGGTGTGGCAGGCAGTGGCAAGACTACTCTAGTGAAGCTATTAACTGACCAATGGATACAAGGTGGACAAGGTAACATAAAGGACTTAGATAATTATGATCTCTTACTGTGGATACAGTGTAGGAACCCGACCATCAACTCATACCAGGGTCTTCTAGACCGACTAATACCAGATGTTTCAACAAAATTCAGAAACATGCTGCCTAAAATAATAAAACTTTGTAAGGTAATAATAATAGTTGACGGTCTGGATGAACTCAATAACAACTCCAGAACATTAGTCAAAAGTCTTTTACTGGAATTCCAAAACTCAATTAAAACAACTTTTATCTGCACCTCAAGACCTGAAGCAGTTGAAATGTTCAGCTTGACGATCCCTGAAGGTTATGATGTGACTATTGCTGAACTACGAGGCATAAAGGAAGAACATACGGAAGAATTTGTGCGTCGGACTCACCAGGAGATAACTAAGCTGACCAACAGCAACAGAAACACTAATAAACTAGTGAATAAGGTGATGGTGATCAAAGGTTTTCATGAACACTTACGTCTACCAATGAATTTAACATTTTTTGTTTACATCTTGAATCAGGAACCTGATGAGTTAAACATAAGAACCATAACACAAACACAACTCTACCATAAAATACATCATATGAGTCAAAGTAAGCTATTAGAGAGATTAACAAACTGTTCAAAGAACAAGGTGAATGAAAGTACTGTACAGAACAGTGTTCAAGAAATACTGAAGATAATATACGCGAGATCACTAGAGAGTCTCTCACGTGACCAGTTGAGTCTTGAAGAAGAGACTGTAGAAGAACTAATATCTGTTTGTAACAAACATGATATACCTTACCATGAGATATTGTCTGCTTTCTTGAGTTTGAAGCCAATATGGACTTGGCAAGGCATTGAGGAGCGCTACTCTGCACCACACAAGGGAATCCAAGACTACTTCAGTGCTCTGCATATTGTGATGACACTTAAGCAACAGCTGCAGTCTTCACCACTCCCAGTCTTGATCCAAGACATCATGTACACCCAGCATCCAGCACCACCTGTGTCTTCTCAACCATCTGTGATAACTGTATCACCACCACCAATACCACCTATGTCTTCTCCACCACATGTGACAACTATGTCAGCATCACAAACTCAACCTTCTTCACCAGTCACATCTTCGCAGACCTCACCAATATCAACTTCACCTTCACCAGCACCACCTACACCAGCATCACCTACACCAGCACTGCCTACTCCAGCACCACCTACACTACCATCACCTACACCAGCACCACGTACACCAGCACCACCTACACCAGCACCACCTACACAGGCTTCACCTATACCAGCAATTCCTGTTAGTATCAGGGGAGTGTTAGAAGAGAGCATCAGGTCAAGTGTGGTAGATATGAACAAGTACCAGAATGTTCTGACACATGTGGCTGGACTGCTGCACCTGGTACTAGACCAGGTACCTGAGGCACCTGCACGGGAAGTGGTTCATCTCCTACAAAAGTCTGGTGTGACTGGCAATAAACAGTGGCTCGACCTCCTTGACAACACTATGATGTCTCCAGTAATTGTCAAACAAATATCTCACTTCTTCAACACTGAAGAAACAATTGTCGTACTTGATGAACATGTGAGAAGCTGCGCTGCTCTCCTACCACACCTTAGCTCCTGCGACGTGAGGATTGATATCCGTGGTGACCCTGGTGACCTACCTGACCTGCCTGACCTGCTGGCTGGCCTCACCCACCACCACTGTACACACCTGCTACTACACAACCACTATCTTCATGCTGACACAACCACCACTTCTGACAACCAGCTGCAACGTCTACAACATCGGTGAGTCGTTGTTAATGTTAATAATGTTTTTGTATATGATAACATTGTCTTAACATTGTAAGTGTTAACATTGTTGTTGGTGTTAATATCGTTGTTGGTGTTAACGTCGTTGTTTTAAACATTGTGGTTGTTGATGTTAACATTGTTGTTGGTGTTAACATTGTTGGTGTTGACATTGTTGTTGGTGTAAATATTGTTGTTGGTGTAAATATTATTGTTGGTGTAAATATTGTTGGTGTAAATATTGTTGTTGGTGTAAATATTGTTGTAATGTTATCATTGTTGTTGGTGTTAACATCGTTGTTAGTGTTAGTATCGTTCTTGGCGTTAGCATTGCTCTTGGTGTTAACATTTCTGTAATGTTAACATTATTGTTGGTGTTATCATTGTTGCTAGTGTAAACATTGTTGTAATGTTAACACTTGCTAGGGAAATGGGGCAAGCTAAACAAAAAATAATAATGATGATGGACTATAAATGGTAACTTAACTTGAATGAGAGCTCACGCCTTCGCAGCCGTCCCCAAAGATGTGTCTTGAGGAGTTGTGCTTCTCAATCCCATGGGCTGTGCGAAAAATAAGGGTGTAATATAATTACCACAAAGGAGTGTTATTTCATCATTTCTCAGAAAATGAGTGTTGATATATGTACGTGTTTGGGCTCAAAAGCCCACACCTCACTGCCATCTATAGGAAGGTTTCAGTAACCTTGTGTCAACAGAAACTACAGCTTCCCCGACTGACAATGGAAATTGAAACCTACCTTGCACTTGTAGCATGAGCTATGGTGTTGAATGCTCCTTACACGACAGGTATAGGTGACTTAATAGAAGCCGAAGTGTCCTTGGATGTCCACGTCTTCCACTCAGTCTGGAAATTCGCAACACTCGCTGGTAAAGTACATTCCAGAAGGTTTGTCTTTGATTTCTTCTCACAATAATGTCACTATCAGAAGCTGAGCACACTTATTGTAATAATTTATAGTGATGATGGAGACTGAGTGGTCGAGGTCACACTGTCATAGTTCCTTTGTTAAGGTCAATGCACGTGTAACATGCTCCTTGCAACATGATTTATTGCATTCTATCCTGCGGTACACTCCGCCAATGGGATCAAATAAACCATGTCCTAGATGAAACAAGCTGGGAAGATATCCTAAACAACACGGACCCGAACATCTGCCTTGAAAAAATTAATTCTGTGGTTCTTGAGATCTGCTCAAGACACATTCCATTAAGAAAAAGAAAGAAAAGATGTAAACTAGAAATAGAGAGACGTTTCCTATACAGACGAAGGTGAAGAGTCACAGAGCTGCTGAGTGGGGTCAATATATCTTAAATACGAAGCTAAGCACTAGTCAATGAAACTGCAAATATCGAACTTAAGCTGAAGGAATTTTAAAGGAGACAAGAATCACAGGAAGAACTGAAAGCCATAAAGGAAACTGAAAAAACAAAAACAAAATACTTCTTCTCTTATGCCAAATCTAAGGGAAAAACAACATCCAGTATTGGGCCCCTGCTTAGGCGGGATGGGACATACACAGATGATAGCCAAGAAATGAGTGAGATACTAAAGTCCCAATATGACTCAGTGTTCAGCAATCCACTGCCCACTCTAAGGGTCTACAATCCAAATGAATTCTTTATGAATGAAACCCAAAATCTGGTCATCCCAAAATTCTCGGATATTATTATAACTCCACAAGATTTGGAAGAGGCAATTAATGACATGGCCATGCACTCTGCCCCAGGCCCAGACTCGTGGAACTCTGTGTTCATCAAGAATTGCAAGAAGTCCCTATCACGTGCCTTCAGCATTTTATGGAGAGGGAGCATGGACACAGGGGTCATCCTGTACACACTAAAAATAACAGGTATAGCCCCACTCCACAAAGGTGACAGTCAAGCAATTGCAAAGAACTACAGACCGATAGCACTAACATCCCATATCATAAAATCTTTGAGGGAGTTCTAAGAAGCAAGATAGTCAACCACTTAGATACCCATCAGTTACACAACCCAGGAGAACACGGGTTTAGAGCAGGTCGCTCCTGCCTGTCCCAGCTACTGGACCACTATGACAAGGTCCTGGATGCTGTACAGGATAAACAAAATACAGATGTAGTATACACAGGCTTTGCAAAAGCTTCCGACAAGTGTGACCATGGTGTAATAGCACATAAAATGCGGAATAAAGGAAAACGGGAAAAGTTGGTAGATGAATCTGCAACTTCCTGACAAATAGAACACAAAGAGTAATAGTAAACAGAGTAAAATCCCAGGCAGCCATGGTAAAAAGCTCTGTTCCACAAGGCACAGTACTCGCTCCCATTCTATTTCTCATCCTCATTTCTGACATAGACAGAGATGTAAGCCAGAGCTATGTGTCTTCCTTTGCGGATGACACCCGCATGGCAGTGGCCTCCATCGAAGACACTGCGAGACCCCAAGCGGATATCAGCCAAATCTTCAAATGGGCCACTCAAAATAATGTGAAGTTCAACGAGGAGAAATTTCAACTACTCAGATATGGAAAACTTGAAGATGTATCAGGGTATACCACAAATTCTAACCATACAATAGAGCGGAAAAGTAATGTGAAGGACATGGAAGTGATAATGTCAGAGAATTTCGCCTTCAAAGACCACAACAATGTATCTACCTAATCCACTAGGAAAATGATAGGATGGATAATGAGAACCTTCAAAACTAGGGATGCCAAGTCCATGATGATTCTCTTCAAATCGCTTGTGCTCTCTAGGCTGGAATACTGCTGTACACTAACGGCCCCCTTCTAGGCTGGCGACATTGCAGACCTGGAGAGTGTACAAAGAACTTTCACAGCACACATAAGTGCAATAAGGCACCTAAACTACTGGGAACGGTTGAAGGTCCTTGATCTGTATTCTCTCGAACGCAGGCGAGAGAAATACATGATAATATGCACTTGGAAGGTCCTGGAGGGATTGGTACCAAACTTGCACACGAAAATCACTTCATATGAAAGCAAAAGACTCGGCAGGAGATGCAACATTCCCCCGATGAAAAGCAGAGGCGCCACGAGTACACTGAGAGACAACACAATAAGTGTCCCGGGCCCATGACTGTTCAACTGCCTCCCAGCATACATAAGGGGGATTACCAATAGACCCCTGACTGTCTTCAAGAAGGCACCGGACAGGCACCTAAAGTCAGTACCTGACCAACCGGGCTGTGGTTCGTACATCAGCTTGCGTGCGGCCAGCAGTAACAGCCTGGTTGATCAGACTTTGATCCACCATGCGGCCTGGTCTCAGACCGGGCCGTGGGGGCGTTTACCCCCGAAACCCTCTCTAGATAAACTCCAGGTGGCCCCTTATCACTTATTTCAGCATAATTTCCCTACGTACTTAACACTGCAACATTAACACAAATTACTTGATTTCTTGATATATCTCGATCACTGAGATTTCCTTATTGTCCTACATGTGCATAAAGCGATGCAGGAGTTTTTCTGTACTTTTCCTGCTACGGTAAAGAGAGTTATTTTCTCAGTTCTCTGTCACTGGTATTACACTAACACTACTCTCCAGAGGTGGTGCATTAACGTTGTTGTTGGCGTTAAAGTAGTCAGTGAGCCTATATGCCTAATTCACATAGTTTCCACTACAGGCTAGGCCTCTCGGTGGTTATGCCAGCCTGCCCACTGCAGCAAGTGTGTTTGCCTGGAGAGAGGAAGGAAGAGGGATAAGTCATCTTCACTTCATTACTCCACACAAGAAGCATCTGTCTCTCAACGAGTTATCCTGATGTCGTGTCTGCATATTTCATCATCCAGACACAGGTACACGCAGGATCCAGGCCGAAATTTGCCGAATTTCTTCGAGAAATATAAGTGGCGTCTTTGGGACTCCACGCCACAGCGCCCCACGCTGTTTCTCAAGTCGTATGTTCATCGTCACTTGTATGTTGCTGCTGATGCTTTTCAGCTCAGCACGGCTATTGCAACAAGTCAGAGGTGAGTTTGTGGTGATTTCTGCGTCCATTGTGAGTGTGTCTCCCATGTTTGTGGGGGGGGGGGAGAGGAGGAAGTAGCTGTTCCTTGCCTCTCCAATGCTCGCTCTACTGTATGCCACCACTGCCTACTCCCTCTCTGCTGTGTTTTCTGCTGTTTCTGTGAATGCTTTGTCAGAGCTGTATATCCGAGTGCCTGAGGTCACTCGAAACCACGTGGATAACTAAGCCATGTGTGGACAAAGGCATGTGGAGTGTGGACGATACCATGTGAGCCTACAAGCCATGTGGGTTACCTAGCAACATGTTGTGGTCTACTGCCACATCACTCTAGTGAAGTCGCCTCACGACGTCACCCACGATGCTGCCCGACTTCATGACGTCACCTTGCGTTGTCAACCCATGACATCGCTCATGACGTCACTCCAGACGTCTGCTGATATCACCTCGCGATGTCAACCGATGACATCACCTCACAACGTCACGTTGAGCGACAGTGTTATTTGTCACATTGACAGTTCTCTTCTGGTTAGAGCATAACAACAATTGTCAGAGAGGTTGGGGTAATAATAGTAATCCTCAGGAATTCTTATTTTAATGAACATAAAGCAAATCATAATACTATTCGAATTATCCTATATAAGTTAAGAATGCTTTTTGTTCTTTTACTGTCCAAAATAAATATATTTTATATATATATATATATATATTAATATATATAAATATATATATATATACATACATACTAATATATATATATATATATATTTTAATATATATATATATTTATAAATATATATATAATATATATATTGTCGTGCCGAATATGTAAAACTGGTCAATTAGCAAGAACTCATTTAAAATTAAGTCCTTCAAAATTTTCCCTTTAAATATGTTTAAAAGATATATTTTTTTCATTAATGTTGAGGGTAAAAATTTTAAATTTTTGCACCAAAAGAATTTTAGAAACTTACCTAACCTTATTTTAACAAGAACAATTTATTTT